ATTTACTACATATGTACAGTGGTCAAAACAACATGGTACTGGTACAAAGAAAGAAACATAGATAAATGGAACAGAATTGAGCATCCAGAAATTAACCCATCCACATACAGCCAACTGATATTTGACAAAGGGCCAAAGTACATTGAATGAAGCGAAGATAGGCTCTTCAACAGATGGTGCTGGCAGAACTGGATATTGATATACAAAAGATTGAAACAAAACCTTTATCTCACACCATGTACAAAAACCAACTCAATATGGATTAAAGACCTAATCGTGAGTCCCAGAATGATAAAGGTCATCAATAAAAAATAGGAACAAATTTAAGGGCTCTAACACAGGGCTCATATAGACTGTATCAAACATTGTGAAAATTGCCAAAACAAAAGATGACAAAATAGATGACTGTGAGATACTAAAAATTAGAAACTTATGCGCATCAAAAAATTTCACCAAAAGAGTAAAAAGGAAGCTCACTGAATGGGAAAAAATCTTTTGCAACAACATATCAGACAAGCGACTGATCTCTAATATCTATAGGAAACTACAACACCTCTACAAGAAAAAGACAACCCAATTTAAAAATGGGCACAGGACATTAACAGACACTTTGTCATGGAAGACATTCAGGCAGCCAACAAACATATGAAAAGGTGTTCATGATCATTAGTCAATAGGTATGGCACGTCCTCAGAAAGTTGGATATAGAAATACCTAATGATCCAGCAATTCCTCTACTTGGTATATAACCAAAAGAAATATGAGCCAGAACATGAGTAGATATATGTACACCAATGTTTATTGCTGCACTATTACAGTAGCAAAAAGATGGAGACAGCCTAAGTGCCCCATCAATGGAGGAATCGATAAACAAACTTTGGTATATATTACGCTACCTTGAAGAATAGCAATGAAGCTGCAAACCACTGCATTGTTGTTGTTGTGAAGTGCCGTCGAGTTGGCTCCGACCTAAGCTCACTAGCTGCTCCTCGGAAACCCTATACAGGGTCGCTATGGGTCGGAATCGACTAGACAGCACTTTACAACAACAACAGCATATGTATACGAGTTAAAGAATAGAATTTCAAAAATTCTGAAAAATGAGATTGAAACATAATAAATACTTGGGTATTTTCTAAAAACTGCATTTATTTCCAAAATATTTTAATTGGAAATATGAAATTCAATGATGTTATACTACAACTTGCTAATTTTTGTTTTTTCCTTAGTACGAGTACCTTTTCTTAAGCTTTTACAATATGATCTTATACAATATTTGTCCTTTTGTGACAAATTTCACATAGCATAATGTCCTCAAGTTTCAAACCACTGCATAATGTTGTTGTTGTTAAGTGCCGTCGATTTGATTCCGAGCCATAGCGACCCTGTATAGGCTTTCCGAGGAGCGACTGGTGAGCTTGAACAGCTGACCTTGAAGTTCAAACAGCTTTGCAGTCTGATGAATTAACCCACAGTGCCACACCAGGACTTCTTATACATATGAGAGGGCATCAAAAAGTTCATCAACAATGGTATTAAAAAGATACAGAATTTTCCCATGAACTTTTTAAAGCCCCCTGTATTATTTATATACTTTAGTCAAATGAATATTCTGTAATCCAATGTTGACCAAACTCTGCTGTTCATTTTCTTAACCTAAATTTGCTAAGCAAAAACAGAAGCTTTTTATTTGATTAAGATATATGGTGGTGGTTGGTGGTTGAGTGCATTGGAGTCAGTCTGACTCAGAGACCCTGCATTGGGTTTCCGTAGCTGTAAATATTCATGAGAGCAGAAAGTCTCATCTTTCTCCCACAGAATAGCTGTAGTTTCGAACTGCTGACCTTGAAGTTATCAGCCCAACTCGTAACCACTACACTACCAGTGATCCTTTCAGATATTTACGGTAATCAAATTATTCACATTAAAAAGAAAAAAAATTATAGAATTTATAGAAGGACCACACAAGGAGATTGCATTTCTTTTCATTCCTCGAGAGAGAGTACCTATGCCACACTAAGCATCCTCAGACAGATGAGACACAAATGTTTGTAAATGGAAATAAAGGACAATATAATCTCTCTCTGCCAATATTTGATGACCTTTTTCATTAAGAAATCCCCCTTTCCAATCTTATTCAAATACTTCATTCCTTTTTTAAAATCCTTTTCCTTCTTTTCTTTCTTTAGTGAACACTGAAATTAGCTGACCAGCATCATCTGAAAAATAGTCCTTTATGTTTGTGAAATCATGAAATAAAGTACTCCTCCATTTTCTTTTTATTAGACTATTTCAGATTGATTTTAACCTTTATACATAGATTTCCTTTATAGGAATAAGCTAATAAAAAGAAATATAAATAAGTAAATTTGCAAGTACGTAATTTGCAAGCCTCAAAACCATATTTTTAATTTTTCACTATTGTTAGTTACTGTTAAGTAGATTTTGACTCATGACAATTTCATATGTACAGAGTAGCATAGCTCCATAGGGTCTGCAAGGCTGTGTGACCTTTCCAAAGCAGATTCTCAAATCTGTCGCCTGAGACACCAATGGATGGATTCGAACCTTCAACTTTTAGGATAGTAGTTAAATACTTACAAATTTGTGCCACCAAGTGATTTCTAATTTCTCACTAATTTGAGTAAAATAAAAATTTTATCATTCTGAAAATGTTTCGTTAAATTTTTATGGTTTTAACATGCTTTTTCAAGAATGAGATTTTATATATAGTTGCTTGAATCCACAATCAACATTCAAACAAGCAGCAGCCAAGAAATCAAATGACATATTGCATTAGACAAATCTGTGGCACAAGCCCTCTTTCAAATGTTCAATACCAAATATATCAATTTGAGAACCAAGGTGCTCCTGACTCAAGCCATGGTATTTTCCATAGCCTATGTCCTTGTATGGTGCTAGAGAATAATGCACTGCAAGGTCAGTTTAAGCTTCAAGATCAGTGGTTCAAATCCACCAGACACTCCTTTAAGACCCAATACAGGGTCACTGTGAGTTGGAGCTGACTCACTGGCACTTGACAACAATAATATGCATGTAAGAGTCACACAATGAATAAGGAAGACTGTAGAAGAATTGATGCATCTGAGTTAAGGTGTTGGAGAAAAATACTGGGAGTATCACGAACTGCCAAAAGAACAAATAAATTTGTGTTGGAAAAAGTACAGCCAGATGCTCCTTAGAAGCCAGGCTGGTGAAGACTCTGTGTCTCATACTTTGGACATGTTATCAGAAGGAACCAATTCTGGGAGGATATCATGCTTAGTGAATTGGAGGGTCAGTGAAAAAGAAGAAAACCCTCACCAAAATGGATTGGCACAGTGGCAGCATCAATGGGCTCAAGTGTAAAGACAATTGTGAAGATGGCATAGAAGAGAACAGCTTTCATTTTGTTGTACATAGAGTCGCTATGATTGGTATAGACTCATGGCAACTAACAACAACATATACATCTAGTATACATTAGTATTAAGAAGGGAATTGTTGTTGTTAAGTGCCGTTGAGTCGATTCCGAGCCATAGCGACCCTGTATAGGGTTTTCAAGGAGCAGCTGGTGAGCTTGAACTGCCAACCTTGTGGCTCAAACCGACCTTGCATAAGCCCAGAGCATTGAACCAGGACTCCAAAATGCCCAAGTACGATTAATTCTCCCACTCAAATGACAGGCTTAGCTTTTAAAACAACACAAATGCTTCACAGAAAGGACAATGTTGGAAATGTGACCATTCTCTTCCTACTCTTTAATCAGGAAGGGAAGGCCTTCTACAGCCATATTTCTTCTGGGAGAGATTCTGAAAGTCTCTAATCAAGGTCTATAGCATTGTTAAATGATTTCTTAAAAGCATATGCCAACTAACAGCATTCAAACATCAAAAATGAAATTCTCTCTCAAATCAAAATCCACACTGAGCAAAAAGCATGTAACAAGGGAGAGAATCTGGTAGAAACCACAGTCCCCTTCAAACCTGGAAGTTTTAAGATGCCAACTACAAGAGCAGAAAACATTGCTCTCAAATATCTGTTACTCAAAGCAATTGTGTTAGATTTATGACGCTAAATATGGGGTTGACAAGTTATAATGTACTAAATATTTCTTATTGCCTCCTGTGAAACTATCAATGGTCTAAGAAAATAATAAAGTTAGAGTTTTAAAATAATAAAGTTGCTAAGTGAGCAAAATTGTATTGAGCCAGTTTCACAATAAAGATGACATTTATACATTTTTCTTTACTATTTGTAACTCAGGTCATAGTTGCTGTTAGCTGGTAGAATAGCTAGGCATAAACACCAGAAGTCAGCCCTGAAGCAACCATGTTTGCACAGACAAAATGCTCACTCTTCAATTAAGGGCAGGCAAGTACCCCATGACTCACTTCACATGAGTCTGTGACAGGAACTGGAGCAAGGCTCAGGGAAAGGAACACTGAAGGGGCCTTAAGAGAAGCCAATGGTTAGTTCCCTTTGGGTTAATGCAACCAGGAAACAATTTGAGGCAAAAGTTAAACTAAAGCAGGTAATACTTCATGATATAATGTAAAAAAGTACAATATGTCAAATACCAGTGTTTGGTCCAGGGTCATTTGTGAGCTCTACAGTAATGTCATATGGATTTTAATTACAGACAGGAGAGCAGGACAACACCATGTCTCCCACCAGTATTTGGACATTACAAGCGTAATGGCAAGCTGGAAGAAACACTCACACCCTCACAGATGATGACACTCTGTTTCCTCTCCAGAGATATTTACCAAATACACAGACCAGGACCATCTTTTAATAAAACACGTTTTCTTTTGGCTCACACCATATAGGGTTTCTGCTGATGTTACACCTGCCAAATCAAATTATCCATGACTCTAGGTTAAAAATGCTCTGTCACAGTGCAAAACAAAAGACTCTAAAAGTGAAAACTAATCAAAGAGAAAAAAAAAAAAGAACAAGAAAAGAAAAATACAAGCTATGTGTCATACTATACTTACAACTTTCAGCCTGATAGTCTGGCACAAACTGCTCATCATTGTCAGGTACCTGAGCTAAAGAGAAAAGAAAATATATTAGGAGAGAAACTGTCAAGGAATAAGAAATCTCAAGAAAGATCTTTATGGGACTGAGATCAAACCTACAAAAGTTTGCCAATGAGTTCTTATTTAAAATGGTATTGACAGCAATTTTTGAGAGGGGAAATAGAAGAGATCATGGGTGTCAGCTACAAAATACATGTTCGTGGTGCCAGTTCCTATGAATTTCTGCCAGGTAGAAATAAAAGGAACACACACAATTAAAAACTACAGAGTTTCTATTAGCTGCAGCATTTCTTTTAGCAAAAAGATATTTCAATTCATTCATGGTCAGTATTTAAGCAGCTCCTCTAAATTATCTAACACAATTATATTGACTGATGAACAGTTATCATATATACCCATCTCCTTCTTTAGAAATGTCTGCTGTTGGTATGTTCAGTCTACAATAAATGAGGCTACTAAAATTAAAAATGGTTTCCCTAAATTTGAATGATATGCTATAATTTTTTTTTTAATAGAAGAGCCATTGTCAATGATTATGTACACATATAGTAAAAATAATAAATAACATACTCCACCTTGTCATGCAAAATATTTTTCTGGTGACTATTTAGCACCAAAAACCACAAAGTATCATTATTTCACTAGTTCTAATGTCAAATGATTTCTTTATTTTTAGTAAAGGAAAAATGCCTAATAGTAGGACTTAATGCAGCAAACAAAACAAAAGTGGACTTTTTCACTCCTAAAATGTTTTCATCATAGTTGATTTAGACATTACAATAGCCCAATTCACAGAATATTACTAAAATGAGTTTTCCTATGCACACGCACAGGTAAGCACAACAAAACGATATGAAATTTACATTAATAACTTTTAATAAAAACCGTAAGTTATCAACCTAGTTAGCTTCATTTATGAGCTGATTTAGTATTATATTGTACTAAATTATTTTGTACCCCAATCAAGTTGTATTAAAACTGATGTCAATTACCTGGAAAAAAATGGGAAGGGGGATGTCTATTCTGTATGGGAATTTTTTTTTTTTTAATGTTTTTATTGTAAATTGGGTGAAGGTTTTCAGAGCAAATCAGTTTTCCATTAAAAAATTTGTGCACATTTGTTTTCTTGTCATTGACTGTAATCCCTATAACGTAGTATCACTTAATCCCACTTCCTTCCAATTTCCATTCCTCCTTCTTTCTTATCCTTTCCTATCTTCTAAATTTCGTCCTTGGGTAAATGCTGCCCTTGTCATCTCAAATGTTGATTATTCTAAAAAGTGGGTACCTGGGGGCTGGGGGAAGAAGGGGGAGTTCAATTCCAGGCTTGAAGGGTGACTAAGGGTGTCTCAGAAGTCCCAACGGTCTCTATCTGACTAGCAAATGGAAAGTCATTTTAAAATAGTGTCCTGAAAAAGTTTCAGATAGGCAACTGAGTTAAGAAAAATCTAGCATACATAATTTGTTTTGCTATTGTTTATCTAATAGTATTTTTAAAATTAGAATTATGTGGCTGGATAAAGTTTACGTGGTATCATTAGCAGCATGAATGAATGTACTCAATATCATACCAGATTTATCTGCAGTTTGAAATTCAACTGTCTTGTAACAACTGTGTTCTACACACCAATACTAAAGTTGACTTAAGACACACTCCACTCCCTGCCACCCAATAAAACCAAACAAATTAAGAATGTTTTCCAGTTGTAACACATGCCTACTTGATTAGCCTATCCTGTAAGGAGACTTCTTTTTCCCTCATCATATTGCACTAATCCCAGCTACTGTGCATAAAAATTTTAAAGTCAAGCAAACTTGAAATCATAATTCTATCACTAAGAAGTTTAACAGTGATAACACATGTTTTTCTGTAAGGATTGAATCTGTGAAAAAATAGGCTAAACATAATGCTACATAATAAACGTTACGTATTTCTTCTTTCCAACCCTCCATCATCAGCCGTCAATCTCTTTTATCAATTAAAAAAACTAACAAACCCCCCACTTCAATCATTATAATGCAAAATTAACATCTTTATTTCTAATGAATTACATGGGAATAAAAATAATATCTATAGTTCATACATTAGCATTATCTTAGAAATTAACAATATAACTATTTGTGATATTTGTTTTTTCTTAGATGTATAAAGTACTACTGTTTGCTCCACACTGGACTTTGTAGAACCCTTCTAAATAATAGCTCTTCACATTGAAAATATTATGAAAAAATGGTTATATATATATTATTATTATTGTAAAGTGACGTAGGGTTGGTTCCGACTCATAGAGACCCTGTATATGTTTTCCGAGAAGCAGCTGGGTTTGAACCACTGATCCTCGTGTGATGCTGTGGGATAATCATTTGACTGCGATATTGGTTTGAACTGCAGGGTCAGCAGTTCAAATCCATCAACTCCTCAAAAAACCCTATGCATGGTCACTATGAGTCTGAACCAGTTCGTCAGCACTTATCAACAACAATGTGTATATATATTTATATATATATATATAGTGCTAGGCGCGATTGAGCCAATTCTCACTTGCAGCAACCTTATGCATAACACATAACAGAACTAGAATCCTGAACTTTTTCTTTTTTTATCATACCTACATGTTTTGGTTCTCCTATACATTAACAGCTAAACAAACACAAGTGTTGAGATACAAAATTATCAGCCACAGCAAGCATTAGGCTTTAAAAAGCCAAGATTTACAAGAATCTATTAAAATGTAATATTCTTTACAGAAATAGTTCAGAATAGCTGGTGAGTAACAAACCGGTATTTGTAATTAAATATGCTGCTATGAATGTCCAAATCACCAGATTTTTTTCTGGGTAAGCACTGGACTGCTAACCACAAGGTCAGTAGTTCATACTCCCGAGCCGCTTCTCAGAAACCCTACACAGGGTCGCTGAGTTGGAACCAACTCCATGGCACTTAGCAACAACAATCACAAGACAAAGTTGCAGTTTCATGATATATAAAAAGGCTTTTAAAAATTCACGGAAAAATTGAATTAAAACATAAAGAATTTTTTCCACTAACTTTTTGAAGCACCCTTATATATCACACTACAAGAAAGGCATAACAATCACTGATGGTCGTGTGGTGTATGTTAGGATATGTGTGAGGGGAAAAAAGGAAAAACTTGAGAAGCAGTAGAATTTATAAGTTTTACCTAACAAATATTCAGAAAATAGCTACACACTAACAATTTGTAAAAAGAGTAGGAATAAGAATTGCTATTTTTGTTCCACATCCTTAACATACTGAATAAATACTTCACACTTTTGTCTGAATATATTACAGAATTTTAACAAAAAACATATGACTCACATTGTCACAGAAGCCAATCTGAAGAAACTGAATAGACCAAATGAAGCAGCATGCTACTTAAATAGACAAAGGCTTAAGTATACCTCTAGTTTCAAGCTAGACTAAAAGGAAAGCAGTTAACTAAAAACACAAGTTGGATCTAGGCAAGGAAAATATGACAAAGTATTGCCGCACTTGTATCATACATCTCCTTTTTTTCATCAATGGACAATGATTCTGTGAAGAAGCAAACTACCAAAACTTCAAAACACACAGCCATCAAGTCAATTCTGACTCAAAGCGCCCTGAAAATTTGTTGTAAGCCATACCAACTCCAAAGCTGAAAACTAACCATAGAAGTCACTGCTGTTAAAAACTATGCTTGAAATGATCACCTTCAGAAATGAAAATGTTTTCCTCACACTATGCAATTCAAGAGGAAGGGAAAGAGGAAAAGAAAGACAAAGGGGGAAAGCATACACCAAAAGACCAATAAAAGGCTTTCAAGAAGATTAACAAGTGGATTTTATTGGTAGTAGGTGAAGAAGTTCTATCAGTTCATTACACGTTAATAGACAAGTTGCCATCAAGTCTCTGTGTCTTGGCTTTAAAAGGGTAGTATCTACATTCTCAGTTATTTGCTTTACCTAGAATATTATCCAAAAGTTTTTTATGTTGATTTTGCTACATATCATGGGAAAGAAATCCATAAAAATATTAACCATGATCTATGGGCCACAGAATTCTCAAGTCTCATAGCATTTAACCTTTCTTTTGGGGGAGTGGACTGTATCATTTTTAAATATAGCATGTCTTTATTTTAGGCCTATCTATAGCTTGTAAATTAAATAATCATTACTTGAGAAAAGGTAAGCTTTTAATATTTTACAAGGTTGACTGTAGACAAGTTAAACCCTCTTTATCTTATAAACTAGGAATTTGTGAGGTTTTATTTTAGAGCTGGGAAAGAAGTAGAAAAAATGCAAATAAAACAAATGTCAAGTATAAAAGGGGTTAAAATTTAATTAAAACCAGTTTTATCCACCGTAACAATGACCTGGAGCCAAACAAGGCGGAAGATGTCTGAGTCATTCTTTCTGCCCGTGAATGAGACAGCTGATCTTCTCAGCAATTCCTCAAGACAAGCAGGCAGTTCTGGAGTTCTGCCTCCATTCACAAAAACACAGTCCAGCATGAGCCATGTGGGCCAACCGCAAATCTTTTCATGTCACACCCTTCCGAAAAGCTAAAGCAAGTAAACTTGAACTTACAATATAAACACACCAATTTTATTGCTGTCTCAAATACAGCTCCGACCCATTAAAGAATACATTTAGATAAATTACACGTTTACAAAATTTTATTTATTTAGATAGATCATTTAACCCATCCTGCTTTACAGGGTACTTTGTCAAGGAAACTTGAATACACAGAACTAAGAAATAAGGAAGGAAAGGCAGGGGGAAAAAGTAAAAGGAAGGCGGGGGGAGGGGGGCAGCCATTAAAGAAATTTATTTTCTTTTTTTGGCCTATTATTCAAATTTTCTAATTCGTTAGATTATGATGAATTTTTTGTAAACTTTACAGCATTTCAGTTTTGATCAAAGTGTTAGAAACCAGCTTCCATTAACAAATTTAAAATGTATTTTAAATGAACCAGTAAGAAAATCACCCTTCGAACAGAGGTATTCTGTTTAATCCTAAAATAAAGCTTCAGGCCGTGGAAGAAAATAATCATGAGTTCACTAAGCCTGGTTTTATATCACATCCGCTGTTAACATTAAAATCATTGTACCAATGTATAAGCATTAATTAATGTAGAAGTATAAACAGACTTAAACACAAACAAAAGGGGGGACGATTTCCTTTTCTACTTGATAAAAACATTGTTGTTTCTATATATTCTAAAAGTAAATGAAAGAAAATTGTAACTTTTAGTTGTCTTGAGTATCAACTCAGCTTCATTTTTTAACTGTAAATTGGCCAGCGGTAACTTGAAAACTTAAAGATAGCTCAGAGTCAACTAGTTGCTTCTAGGCAAATATTTTGTCCAATGCTAGAGGTAATAACTCTATTGCCATTATTACTATTATTTTTTTTTTTTAATTACAAGAGTGTAGGTCAATGGGAATTAAGTAATATTATGAGATGTAAAAAATTACATATTTCTCATAACTGAGCTAGAAAAGTTCAACAATACTTCATTAACATTTATTAGGACCTTCTAGAAAAACTTATACCCATTCAACAACAAGTCCAATATTTCTATTTTTTAAAAAAAAACACTTTCCTTATCTTAGATAAGAAAATACTTTTATAACTCGAATGAATATTTAGGAAATAATAAATTTATTCTACCTGTTATATTTAATTCAAATCCAATTGAGAAGTTATCCTTTTATATTTTAAAGTATTTCCTGGTAGCCCCTTCACTAAACACAAACACACAAATCAAATAATTCCTGCTCAACTCTAAGCAATTATATGGACTTCTATAATTAAATCCTTTATATTTATCTCCTTTTTAAAATGTAAACCACATAAAATAATGTAGCTTTAAAGGCCTTTTTTTTCCTTCTGCCATAGGGCAAAAACAACATTCATGAACACTTATCAAACTGTAGTTTGATTTCAGAAAAGAAAGTACACTTTTTTTATATATATAAAGGAGTCCATATTTGTCTACGGTATATTATGGATGACATTCCATACAGCAAATGACAATAGCGCATTATTTAAAGTACTCCATAAAAAAATGATTTTGGTATGAATTTAGAATCAATTATTGAAGGGAAATGAGACAATAATGACATACCAACTTTGATGTCACTATGACTATCAGGCAGTCACATAAAACTTTCATATGTATCTGCATGAGGTAATAACCTTTAGTTTAGGAAAATTGTTTTTGGAGATAAAACTTTGACTTGTGTGTTGGTAGCATAAAATTTCACTACTACAACGTGATTGAAAAAGATTTTCCCTGATGGTAGTGAATCACAATTGACCTTTTTCTTTATTATTACTGAGGAAAGGGAACCTCTAGACTATCACCTCTAGTCAAGAACTTCTAGACTATCACAAAAGATTATCTTCAAATGTAACTATGTATTTACATGACATATACTGAAGTTTATTATTTTCTTTAAATTGTGTTAGCAGGTAATATAAAGCTTAAAAAGCAAGTTTTCAAGATGTAATCTTTTTCAAGATGTAATCTTTTTTTTTTTTTTAACTCAAGTTTATGTCCTTTAAGCCTGTCCTACTTACACATGGTTTAATTTTAGCTGTGAATTTCTAGGATTTCAATCTCTAAAGCACAACTTAAAAGAGTTTTTTTAAGAATAAGATGTTACCATGATGTTGACAAGATTGATATTTGAATTTATTATTTGATAGGATCACATAATTGTGATCGCCTTCTCTGTCAGCAGTAATCTTATTCAAAAGATAAATAATCAATAAAGAAGTATACATAGTAAAATTATAATATTAAGAATGTAAGACACAAAAAACCAACTAGACAGTCTAACCATTTTTCAACTGCTACTCTGGTCTCTGAAAACACTAGCTTTTCAATTTTCTTATATTTGGAATATGATTTTTTAATATGATTTGTATTTTTTTTTAAAGATTTAAATTGTAGTGTTAAAATACAGGAGATATTAATATATAGTTATATTCCTCACAAACATATTTTTGATCCCTGTATATAAATTGTCTTTTGGAGACTAGAAGTATATTTAGAGATGATTTTTGTTGAGTTGAAAAATTCTGTTGCGTTTTATCCTCCCCTTCATAGTCTCCTGCTTATATACCCCAAATTCAAAATCCACACAACACAGTTCATAATCCATACTAATTAACCCAGTGACTAATCCATATCCTGAGTATGAGGTCAACCTTAGAAACAATCTTACAAGAAAAAAGATTAAGCATGCTAAGATATATTCCATGTATTTACAGATTTTGTTGTGTGTTTTTTTTAAAGACGTGACTTTCATATAACATATTGCAACTAATTTCATTCAACTATGTAACTATTATTAGTTGTAACTATATTACAACTAATTTCATTCATACCTAATAAGGATTTTAGACCTGTAACTGTGATCTAACTCATGAGAGAAACTTGGTTAATTGCCAAAGTTTTTTTAAGGTGTCAATATGCCTTAAAATCAAGGGTTACATTCTTGGTTACAGGACATTAATAAAATAAATATGTAAATAGTAGTCTGCCAATTTTGCAATGCTTTAATTTCTGGATGTCCGGGAGGATATAAATGGACAAATCTATCTGCAAGTAGAGGAGGACAATTCTGAGCTCTCTTCTTAGCTAACTACTCAAGCTATAGAATAAGTCTAGTTAAAATGTCATTGCAAAATAATTAACTTGTACTTAATTATTCACGTAAAAATAAATGCAGAGTCTATTAATAATTTTTTTTAACTCTCTATTAGATAAAAAAGAAGAAGTCACATGAACAACTTTTGCTTATGTCACATTTGGATAAATTAACCTATACTGACAAATGTTTAAATGCTTCTAAATGCAATATTATCCTTAGTTCGTAAATAGTAGTGCACCTGGGTATTTAATAAAACACTCTGAGGATTAATTCTTGAACTTGTTAAGCTTATGCATTCTTTTCAAAGTAAAAGTCCATGTTCCTCAAATACACTGGTCATTTTCTTGGTTTATGTTATATAAAGCTATATCTTCAGACTTGATTTACAGGTATGTTAAGAAATCATGAATAGAATATTCAATGTAGAACTTTATAAGAAACAAACTTGGATAAATTATTCAAATCACTTATTCAAACTACAAGAAACAAAACAAGTCAAAACTTTTTAAAAAGTATTGAAATTGATTATAAAATGTTAAGTGTATATGTCACAGGTTCTACATTTTAAAATTCCAGCAACAGAGTTGCTATGCACATTCAAAATCTGCCAGCAAATGCAATGACTTGGAATCAATGAGATTACAAAATCTTAAGCAACAAATCTTCCAGAGTAATAAAAATAGGTATTTTAAGTTATTTTGGATAAATGAATAAATTCCCTCATAAATGTAATGACCTCACAGCCTTCAACTTTACAAAATTAATATATAAAAGTCAACATGAGAACCTCTGTGGAGGTTTTGTTGTTGTTGTTGTTGTTGTTTTAAAGCAACCATTGAATCTATGGCTTATGTTGCAACAATAAGTAATCTATTGCAATAAGTTTCATTTACAGAGACACAAAAAAAGATATTTAAATATAACTAAAATTTTCATGATACTTACCTTTCATTAACACTTACATACAATAGCCCTTTCAAAGGACTACCAGGAAAGCTATTTAAGTTAAAAGATTCATAAAGATTGTAAAAGCTCTTTGGAGAACTGGAATTTCAGCAAAACAAAGAAACTTATTTTACATACTAACAACAACTTGATCAACTGCATGCAATACTAACCAATAAAACAAGTCAGTCAGCTTCAAAGCACCTACAGCACCACTTGGGTTAAAGAGATCCTTTCTCTCTTTAACATCTTAAAGATCTGTTCAAGAAACTCTATGTTTCCCATAGAAAGCGAAGACATAAATAAAACCATTATAATCAGGGCTTAAATACCTATAATTCTCTTTCTGTTTTCCACAAAACATACCATAGAATAAAATTAAAATTTCATATTCATTATACCAAAAGCAAAATAAAACTTTAAAATTTTGAATGCTTACAAGATCCCTCATTAAGCATTTCTGAGGTTTACTGAAGCAATATCTCATTGTTCTACAAAATGACATTTTACACACAAAAAAGAATCATAGATTGAACACAAAAGTTTATCTAAAAAAAAAATCCAAAATCAAAGTAAAGTCTTTAAATATCTCCTTGCTATAGTAAATAAATCCTAAAAAAGGTGACAAAATAACAAAGGTCAATTTCAACAAACATCACACGTATAGTAACAGATAGAAAATATTTTTAAAATCATCAAATCCCCCAAAGATTTGTTAAGTATTCGATACACACCTAATGTTCTGTGTTGTGAGCAAGGTGGAAAGAAGACACTTGCACTTAAATCTTGAAGCATCCCGTCCTGATGAGCCCAGAGAAACTAATTTCTGCCATCAGAGAAGTCCTCCACCAGAACACCAAATAAAGATATGCTCTGCTCTAAAGGAAACAGCAAGCCGGGTTCTGGCTCTAGGAGGTCTCTCGAGGTACAATAATATAAACCTGATCAATTGCAATTAAAATCTGAACAGAGGCTTAGAACTTGAAGTCTTGGTGCATTAGTTCTTGCCAAAAGCAGATGTGATTGTGAGCTGGAAGCAATTTCTCCTGGTAATTTGTGATGACACTGGGTAGTGCAGCCCCAGAGTCCCTAAAGACAAACTCATCAGAGGCTCTAATGTATGCATGACACATGAGGTGGCTCTTTTAGAGCTCAATTAATTGGGCTGAACATTAAGACAGCAACTTCAGGACTTTTTCTTTTTTTTTTTCCTTCTAGAGTTGCTTTTCCCCCTTTAAAGCCATTTTTTTTTTTTTTTTTGGTAATGCCTTACCTTCTGCAAGCCATGTTTCTTGTAATTGACTTAGATCTTGAAAGAGTTCTATTAAAAAAAAAAAAAAATCAAAGACTAACTTAAGATTTAGAAAACCTTTAAGGCTTCTTTAAACAAAAAATGTTTATCATATAAAATTGCTGTTAATATCAATTCAACTTGTGAGGGGGTGTCAACATAAAAAAGTGGGTTCATGTTCTCAACAGTCCTACAGTTTTGATTCCAATTTAGCAATGCATTTTTAAATAGCTCCTGTAGTCCAAATATGAAATATTTTTAAATAGCTCCTGTAGTCCAAAAATGAAATATTTCCCCACACCCACCCACCCACCCACCAAAGCAAACAACTTAATCAATAACCTTAAGGTCACGTAACACATATACTTGTACAGCAGGATTCACAAAATAGGGCTGAGATGAAGGTGTGTCTATCCACGAAGGCTTATCTTACTTAAATGTATACAAGTCCTGTTAAAATAGTAGTGAGGAAAAGAATACACAGACCAAACTGCATTTTATTTATATCTTCTGACTCTTATAGGATAGAGCTATATAGTATACAAGATTACCTTCTTAGGCTGTCAAGTTTAATACCATACACTAAAAGGGACAACTTTTTAAATAAAAGATTTCCGAGGAAAAATTCTACATTAAAAAGTAAACAGAAGAAATAACTCCCTGGTATCTGTGAATTATCAATTCCAAAACTGAGGATTCTTTCCTGTTTGGGGGGGTTGGGGGAGTTGGAGGTGTTCAGTATTTAAGTAAGGATTTTAGGAAGTTTCAGAAACTGTAAACTGACCTTTGATAACTAAATTGAAGTATATTTAGGTTTATTATGAATGCCCCTATATGGCTGAAAAAAGTTATAATGACCTCCTACCAACAGTTCACGAAAAGAATCTATAGCCTAACTCTATAAATAGGCAATATAATTATTAATTAGGCCTTTATTATGATTCAGTGAACACTTTTAAGGCCTAACAAAAAAAGGTAGATTCCACCTTGTAGTCATTAAAATCTTTCATAAAAATTTTTATACTAGCATTATGATTTCAATATAAGATGATGTGAAAGTAAATTATATAATGAGGAAAGAAAAAAGTAAGCAGTGTACACAGCTGCTTAGTATGTTCTAATGTGTTGACTACTTTAGAATTCACTTTTGTATGATATTATTTATGTCATATGAATAAGTGTATTTCAACATAAGAATGATTGAAAGGATGTCACTTTTAATTTTAATGTACTTCTTTCATTAGTTTTGTGACAAGTCCACAAAACATTGTCCAATGCAAAGTTACATTATATAAATTGCTCCAAATAAAAGTATTAGTTAAATTCAGTAATTTCAAACTTCACTATTTTTAAGATAAGACTGAAGTGTTCCTCTACTTTATCAGGGTGTGGGCAATAAGTGAAGGAGAATCCAACCCAAAATCAAACCTCACCTTCTGAATCATGAGCCAGATCTCTGTTAATGAATTTTCTTTTCCTGACATTTGTTGGTTTCTCGTTACAATGTCTCCCACGCTGACTCTAAAAGGGAAAGATAAAATCCTTTAAAAGAAAGTAAAACCTCAGATGTTACATATAAAAAGCGCATGCATAAAAAACATGTCTACTGGTTCCTCTCAATAGAAAAAGAAATTCTATAGTATTAATTATAATATTCCTTTTCTGCATTCATGACAGTGAAAACCTATACTGAGTCTTCAACATCCAAGAGAGAGTTGCAGCCCTATGCTGATCCTGACTCTCTTCGATTTATCAATCATCTATTCATGGTATCTCAGCATCAAAACAACATCAAGCAATTACACTTAAAGTCGTTTTCAGGCTGGATCAAAGCTGGTTTAAACACAGTGAATCTTAGTTTCTCAGATAAACACACACACATACACAAGGGCAGTTAAAAGAGAGTGCAGACATTTTTTTAAATATTAAGAGAGAAAATTAGGAAAAAAGAAACAAAAACACCCCATGTAAACAGAAAGTGTCAGCATTTGTCTCAACTTCATTCTTTTCAATGTGGCAGACAAACCCAGCCAGAAACTTTGAGTGCAGCAGCTGCTGCTGCCCTCCATCTCCTCTTCCACTCATCTTGGACACTTTAATCAGAAAAAAAGGGGTCTTAAAAATAAAACTATGCCTTATCCAAATCACTGAATGGTAAGCTCATTTTGAAGATTGGGCTTCGAGATGCAGAGTCGCCCTATAGTGGCAACAAAGCAGATAAAGTATCTGCAATCCCAACCCCCTTACCCCCTCCCTTCTGGTTTTCTCCCTCCCCCACTCCTCTCCCCCCCCCCCCGCTGGAGTCAAGTTTATAAACGGCAACTTTCAAACTGATCACTCACATTGGTGACCAAGTAAGGCACTTGCTGGTCGTAAAATCCATCCATTCTGCTGCTCTTCACAAATCTCAGCTTAGTATTTTATATTTTGAGCATTTAGCTGGAGATTTCCCCGGGATCTGGACTGCTATCAACCTAAAGGGGAACAAGATGGCTTTTAGGCTTAAAAAAAAAAAAATCATGAATGAAGCTCTTGAATTTGCATAGCTAATTACCCACCAACAGCCCCATTCACAAAAATAACCCTCCCTACACCGCCTCCTTCACCTGGATCCAAAGAGAGCCAAGAGAGTTCACAATTTACATATTTTCGGCAGTAGCAAAAATCCGAACAAGAGGCGATGCATTTATTTACACTCTCGATGTTTCCCTGCGCGGTCAGTGTACCCCGGTCAGCGCTGATTCGCAAACGTGTGCAAAACTAGCAATGGCGATCAACGAGACTTGCTTTGCACCTAACGGGACTAAAGAGACGGAGACACCTCTTTCGTAAGGATAGTTTTTGCAACCCACAACCATGCAATTATCTGGAGAGACAAAAAAAGTTGTTGGAAAGACCCACCTGAAGGTCACGCTAGGCGAACGGCTGCAAAATATTCCCTCCAAATTTAATAAAAACATTAATTATTACCCAAGCACTTCCCCCTTGGAAGCTGAAAGCTCCTCTGACAAGAGCTCAATTCGGTGGTTTTTCCTCTACTTCTCCTCCAGGGGCCTCCAATCCAAACTGATGGATCGCTGCCTCCCATTGGCTCCGCGTCTCTTTCACAAGATCAGATTTCGGGCTGTCAATCAGGCAGCTTGCTGCCCCAGCTCCGCAGATCACGCGTACCCCTCCGCCAGAGCTGGTGCGGGGCGGGGAGGTACGGAATCGACTCCCCTCCATCCCGCAGATTATTGATAAAACGCCGGGGGACTACTTCTATGCGTATCGATCGAGTCTCCAATTCTCGCTACTGATGTGTTTGGGCAGATTTCCTTTAAGGCACTTTTGTTCGGTTCAGGTATATAAGTACTCTGAAGAGCAACCTACAACCTCCTCAGCTCCCAAACAAAAAGCCTACCTTGTTCCTGCTAAGGTTTTAGCACAAGTTACTTTCCCTTTTTCCAACATCCCTCTACCACCACCACCATTATGGCTTATGGAGACAATTTTTTTAAAAAACAAACAAAAAATAGCTATCCTCAACTACAATTAGATCCTGTCGTCCGTGGCACAGAAAAATAACGCATCTTATAATGAAAGCTTCAGAGGAATGGCTTACTAGGAGAGGAAGAGTTGTAATGTTAAGACCAATCTAAGTGAGGAAAACTGTATACAAATCAAACATGTACCTACGTGTGCACTGGAGAAGGGTGCATTCAGCCCATTGTGGAAGTGGAGAGGAACAGGGAGGGGATGAGGTGGCTCGGATATACCAGGGACCCAAACGTTTCCTGAGCTTTTGTTATGTATATACCGAGGCGAGGGTGTCACTTACTGTACTTGACGCTTTCACTTCCTCTCGAGCTTTTAAACAGCCGGATCCCGGAGTAGGGGGTGAGCGGTGAGAGGGATCGGGTTTCAAGGACAATGACTAGGACCTTAAAAAGTGAATGTAGCATCGCTACAGCCACTTGCCGTGATACTCCTATGGGACTTGTAGCTGCGAAAAGTCACAAATCATTAAAGACTGGGAGGCCGCAGGGGTGGGATCAGGGTCTTAGTGGTATTGAGGACTTGTATTCCTGGTGACGACCAGAGTTGGTGACCAAAGGACGTTTCCGGCAGCTGCTCTGCCAGTTGGGAAACAGGCTGCAGTTCTCAATTTCTATTTGAAAGTTTCCGTCCTTAAATGGAACGTTGTGGAGGCGGTTTTAAATGGTGTAGGAGCACACAAGACTCAATTTCGGACTAGGGGAACCAGGACGGGAAAGGCTAGGTCAAGACAAAAAAGAATTTTTTAAAAAAGACAAAAAAACTTTCCACTGTGGAAACAATAATTGTAAGTAGCAGGGAACACATAGTGCATTCTGTGAAACAGGAGCAAATCAAAGTTGTCTGCTACAAAGTACGCACCTACACGCTTTTTGAGCGGGAACTACACTTCAACCCTGCCAAAGAGGTTCTGGGAGCAGTTTGACCAGAGGCTAAAGGCCTGTAAAGCTCCCGAGTACTTACTGTGAATGAACCCAAGCGGGAGGCCAATAGCCTGGGTGTCCCGCCGCCTAGCGCCCCGGGATAACCCACCCACTGTAATCTGAGCAACAGTTTCCAAAGACCTTTGCGGCCGGAGCCCAACCCGTATCCAGGGTAACCGGGAGAGGGAGGAGCTACGGCTTCAGTCCCCGCGAGGTTCTCTCCTCAGCCAATAACAAACCGTGTATTCCCAGTCCATTGTTGTTTACTGCTGACCCCGCAGCGCTCCGCTAGGAGATTGGCCGCCTAAGGGAAGGGGGCGGAGCTCTTACGCCCCCGCAGCCACCTTTTAGTTCCATTCACAAAATTCCGGGCTCTGTTAGTCACGTGGTTTGGGTGGGCCGGCACAACAAAGGCCTAAATTTCCAAAATCCCAGAACTTTTCCTTCTGCCGCGCTATCTCCTCTATATCCTGATCCTGAAACAAACACTAAAAAATCAAAACCTTTGTCAAGTCCATTCAGACTCATAGCTACCCTTTAGAAAATAGAACTTCCCTCAGCGTTTCCAAGGTTGTAAAATGTTCGGAAGCTGACTGCTACGTTTCTCTCCTTGGAGTGCCTCTAGACATCAAACCATATGGCGGCAGCCTAGTGCTTAACCACTGCAACACCAGGGATCCTTGTAAACAAATAGTAGACGATGGGGATAAGGGGAGGCAGGGAGGAGTTTGGAGAGCAATAAAAAGCGGTGGGGAAAATTAAATCTGAAAATAAAGGGAAGGTTTGTGTGGGATTCACAGCTGGGTTCACTGCTTACAAGAAAAGTGCATCGACCAAAAATAAGGAGAGTGAAGAGAGAAGCTTTAGCATTCTGCCTCATCAAGTCATTGTTATTAGAGGAGCAAACATTTTGATATTGAAAAAAGATTTGCTTTCTTACTGAAGGTTCTGTAATTTTTATTTTTACCTTTGATTCATCCCACAAATCTCGTGCTTTTATTATTATTAAACATTTCCTTAGTAATATTACAGGTTTCCGGCGACTGGCAGTTTCTATATTTATTTTCTCAGTACTCCACAGGCCCCCATCAAGACCTTCCTACTGCTGCTGAATCCGCACTCCAAATTACTGCTGATACTCCATTTCACTTTGTATTACCTGAGCTTCAAAGTTTTCTTTCCCAATTATTTAAATGAACTCATAGCATTTAATTCTTTGATCTTAAGAGTTCAATTGAAACTGTGAGTAAGCAGTCACTTTTCCTATAGCACAATTTTGTTTAAACAGCTTTAAATGTTGAAGCAAATGTGCCATTCTTGAAAGACAATCGTTAAACCACAATGATTTCTCTTTCTCACTTTTCCCTCTGTCCTTCCCTTTCTGTTCTTTTTGTGCTTTGCAGCTCTCTGAGACACTATCTTTAAGTTTGGCTGCTGTTTATCTTCTATGCTTGGCACTGAGGAAAGCCAACAGACCCAGTGACTAAAGACCTAGAAGGGCTCAAGTTTTGTTTTCCAGAAAATGTTAACGATTGTGGAAAATGTCTACAGAGGCTGCAGTTCTCTCTACAGAGGGGCACGTCAAGAGTTACACAAAGTTTCCACTACTTTTGAAAATGAGTCTTTAAAAAATCATCTTAGTAATGCCAGTCGTGTTGAATGGAAATTTTCATTTTGGCAGGAATTCAGGCATAGAATGGCAGAATAGAGGCCAAGAGACTTTGACATTTATTTACTTGTATTTTGAAATACCATTTGAGTTTTGAAATAGGAGCTCTTGAGAGAAAATTTTTACCAAAATGTGGAAGGGGAGAAAAAGTCCATCTCTAAGTTTAGAAAGTTTTTTACTTGCATATAAAGTAGTTAAGTCGTTACAGTTCCTTTACTGATACTTTGCAAAGTAAAATAGTATTCATTAATGATTCTTCCTGCAGTTACCCCTTATGTACAGCATTATACCGAAATGCATGTTGTTAAAATAAGAGTGAATTTCAAAAATCTGCAGGAAAATGGAAACTTAACATTTAAACTAAAATAACACTATTTGTTTTAAATGGTGAGTCTGATTAAAACAAAGCAAAATTTGTTCAAAATTCTGTGGATCATTAAGTAAAATAATTAACTGTATTATCTTTTTTATTAAAATACTATGTATCATAAATTATTAATGGCCCAGTTCCCACAGAGATGTATCAAATAGATATTGAAAAGCTAGACTAATGAATAACAAAATCAGTAAGAGAAATGGGCAGGTGAAAATAGTTCTAAAAGGAAATACACAAACATAAAAGAAGGATGAAAGATAACTAGTGATTTTGTGTGCTTCCTATAATAAAATAAGAAAAAACTTGTGAGCAGGATAGAGCCTAGGAAGAAGGTAAATGTACCAGAGAAATTTACATTTCATGTGGCAAGTATCAGGAATACTGTTGTGACACTATAGGATAAGCATGGGCTACTAATCACAAGGTGATGGTTTAAACCCACCAGCCTCTGCTTGGGAGCCCTATACAGGGTTGCTATGAGTCTGGACCGACTTGACAGCACTTAACAACATAGCAAGTGTCCAGTATCCCATTATCAACACTGCTATTTGCAAACAGTGAAAATCTGCAAACTCCCACAAGCAGAGGGAATAAAAACAATCTGTGAACAAATAATGGAAAAATACTAAACTACACTAGAAATCAGTATATTATACATTAAAAAAATAAAGAGGATTTTTATACCATTAAATTGGGAAGAAAATTTCTACTGCTTAGGAATGTGGATGAGTCCTGGTGTGGCGCTGTGGGCTAATGCGCAACACTGCAAAGTCATTTGAACTGCAAGGTTGGTGGTTCAAGGTCACCAGATGCTCCTCGGAAACCCTATACAGGATTAGTATGGGTCGGAACCAACTCGATGGCAATTAACAATAGCAACAACAACAAAAAGGCATGTGGATGCTAGCATATAAGCACTGGTTTATTTCCAATTGGAATGCAACTTCCTACAGCCTTTTAAAAAAGTCATTTACAGTATCTGTTGTTAAGTGCCATAGAGTTGGTTTCAATTCATAGCGAACCCTTTACAGGGTTCCAGAGGAGTGGCCAGTGAGTTTCAACTATCGTCCTTACAGTTCAAATTGGCCTTGCAGTCCAGCACATACACCCAGTTCCAAAAGTTAGACCAAATATCATTGATTTGAGAAAGTTATTCTACAAAAATTAGCATTGTATTTTTTTTTTTAATTTAATACATAAGGATGTTTATAGAAATACCATTTGTAGAGGAAAACAATGTGGAAACAACTTGTAAGACCATCAATGAGATGTTGTCTTATTAAAGTAGGATACTCTGAAATTTGGAGATTTACACTATGGTTATATAGCTATTTTAAAAGTATACTAGAGGAGGCAGGGCTTGATGACAGACAGGGTAGAGGTGCAGTGAAGCTCTCTGTCAGCAATAACACAGAATACCAGGTGAAGCGGGTTCAGCGCAGAGCTCCAAAACTCAGAACCACAAAGGTAGGAATATTTAAAAAGTTTGAAGGCTTATAGCTAGTGAAACTTGTAGCTGAAGTAAAAAATCTCATACTTTAGAATCTGCCCAGGCTAAGCAGCCCAAAGCCAAAAACATGGGCAAGACCAAACAGCAAAACCAAGAAGGGGAGTAAGCTGACCCATCACTGAATAATGCCACAGGAACCTTGGAGCAAAGGTGGACAATAAGCTTTGTTGATTTTGGTTTCTTCTGAATTTTGGGGGGTATCTGTTCATTTGCCCCTTACTATCTGCAAACATCCATTTTGCTGACTAGAGGGGTGCCTGAGTGAGTGGACACCCCCACCCCCACCACTGGTGGGTTCTTTTGCC